AAAGTATGATACACACCAATTCACAACCTGTGAAAGATGTTGAGTAGATATAGAGTATCATGGTACCATGACCTAGTATGATATGATATGAAGAAGGATATTTAGGGCATTCTGCGGCAGAGTGAAGTTTACTTATCATCTCCTGAAAGTGCAAAATTTCAAGGAATAATTCTAAGACAATAGACCTGGGCAAAATATCCTTTTTTTACTCCAATGGTTTATGGAAAATTAGATTAGATTTTTTTGGAAATAGCAACAAGACAAAGAAAGCTGAGCCATTCAGTAACACAGTGCTTCAGTGTTCAATCCCTACTGTAAGTCCTCTGTTGTTCACTCTCATTACAAAGTCAAAGTCCGTTCGCTTCACACATCCGATGGGAGCTGTCGTTCCTGCGGGCCGGAGCACGGGGGGAGCTGCAGCCTCTCCCCTCTGCACTGGAGCAGCACCCAGGCCGGCTGCCAGCGCTGATATTGATGACAAAATATTTGCAGACCTTAATTACAGCACAAAGGAAATCCCATAGGCGTATGTAATCGACACTGAGAGCTGCCCTTCTATTAGAATTGTCATGGAGGAAATACATGTTTACTTGTTCCCTTTTCTCTGCTCATTTAAGAACAAAACAGGGCAGCAGAGTCTGAAGTCTCAGGATTACTGTGTAAACAGGCAATATGTCAGAGCAGGTTACTACACAGACTAATGTACCACAGAAATGATATTTTAGCCATAGAAAAGGTTCAAAGAAGAACAAAGAGAGTGAGCCCCAGTCTCATGAGACTGTTGTACACAGACAGGATGAGGCACATAAATTTCTTCAGGTTAGAACAAAGGATATTTAGAAAAGGTTTGATCCAGGTAGACAAAATCCTAAAGGGTTTAGATTTGTTCAAACCAGTTTCACAAACCTGGTGTGAAACTTAAGGGGAATTAATTTAGGACAGAGAATACTTTATTTTTATTTTAAGTAGTGGGTGTCTAGAACACACTACCCAGCCCGACGGTTGATGTCCAAATCCTGCAAATCTTTAGGAAAAGGTTGGACAAAAGTTTAGATTCATCCACCTACTAAGATGGGCCTCATGTATATGTACTGTACAGAGGCAGTAGGAGATCAGTCTATTGAGAGAGACAATGGGAAACGAGGCTACAGACAGCATTAAAGCCGTGGGTAAGGGAAGCTGTTTCTCCACAGGACAGGAACAATATGCTGCCCACCCTGGTCTTTCCATGAAAGAGAGCCAAGTTTAGCCTGTGCAGGGGCAACCGAAAACTAATTGTGAACCCAGAGTCATTTTCCTTTATAAACAAAATACTGTGGACAAGAGTAATAAACTGTACAAGTTCCAAAACAATAAACAGCCATCTGACAGGCAAGAGCAGGAATGCATGCCAGGGTCACAGTGCGGAATACAACATTTTTTTAAATGAAACCGCCAATAAATCCCGATGACATAATGGGTGTGGGATCTGTAAAACCTCACGAATGCCTGTGCAAATATGTGTCAATACACTGTCCCTCATTTCGTGGCTGAGGAATGAAATTGTACAACAGTCTCTGGCAGTCTCTTGCTGTTTTAAAAGACCAATGTTATAAAAATCATGAAGAGGATCAGGTGATCGTCTGAAGAGTATCTATCCTGTCAGGATAATTATTGGTTTAATATTGTGTTACAATTCTTGAGGTCCCCTTCCTCTTGCTACAGTACATCAGGCTGAGCAGACAAATTAAAATAATTTAAAAGCAGAAATAGTTGTGAAACACACATAATGACCCCAGTACACTTCCCCTATGACTCATTTTCTATCTGCTTGTACATCCATAGCAACACAGACACTGACACAAAGTGACTGACACAAACATTCTTATTAATCAGCAGAAAAGAAAACTCTGATACAATTGTCTGTAGCAAACCAGGCAAAAACATCTGTATTATGATTTCAGTTTCCACTGCACGTCCTTCAGGATGGGGCAGGACTGTGTCTTATTGCCTCTGTCTGCAGCTGAGACACAAGCCCCTGCTCTCAGCAGCCACGAGTGAACTCTCAGCGTAGAGCAGAGCAGAGCGAAAGCAGCGAGAAGATCAGGAAGCGCACAGGGACACTGGCAAATACGGCACATGCCATCAGACCACAGCAGAGGAAAAAAAACGCAAGGCAGAAATGTACCATGGTGAACTTCTAACAGGAAGTCCTCTGGTCTGAACTCAGGGAGAAGAAATCCTACGGCTAGGAGTGGGACAGGTGGGTGTCAAGCCCTCTGAGGTCATGGGAAAAACATGCCAGATGAATGAAACCCATCAGGTTTAAATTCGCGCCAGTCTTATTAATCCTGCACTGGCATGTGACTGCGTGTGCCTCCGGGCTTCCTGCTCCCTGGTGTGCAGGACTGGGCAGGGGCCATTGTCCGCTGGCCTCCGTTTCATGTCTTAACGCTTTGTTTGTCCTCGTGTTTCTCCTCCCAGATCTGCGGCTTCGTGAGCGCCATCTCTCCGGGGGGCAATGACGATGACAACCTGTTGGCGTTCCGCTTCTCCGCCACGAATCCCATCGTGGACCCCTGGATCTTCATCATCTTCCGGAAGAGCACATTCCACAAGCTGCGCTCCCTGCTGTGCTGCCGCTTCTCCCAGAGCGCTCTGAAGACCAACAGCTTCCCTGAGCCCAGCCAGGGTCACGGCACCCCCTTTGAGCAGCAGACCTACTGCAGCCTGCCTGTCACCTCTCACTGAGCACGTTCAGGGGGCTGGCGGCCGGGTGCCACCCTGGCGCCCTACCTTCTTCCTCTTCCAGAAAGCACAGCCCCTCACGGCCAGCGCCCAGCCAGGACACTGAAGGTGGCAATGACTGCTTGACTACAGCAAGGGCTCTAAACTCCCTGAATGCTGGTCTGCTTTCCGGATTAGCTGGCAGGAACTCTATTAATTAGCACTCAACCATGTATTAAAATTATTATCATTTCATGGTCTCAAAGTGCAGGATGGACATTTCTCATCACAACAACTGATGTAATTTAATTTATACTGTGACAGGTTTAATTTATATTGATAACAGAGGTCTCCTCACATCTGGACACATCAACTCTCCACTCCAGCGGAACCACACGCAGGAGGACGGGGTGAGCTCACCACCGACTCCTCCTGCTCCTTCGGCTCTCTTTCTTCTGCTCCCACTGCAGAAGGAAGACCAGACTTTGAGCAGCTTCAGAGAGCTTGAGAACAGGGCCAAGGCCAGTGTTGCACACATGGAGCCTCGTCACAGGAAGTACAGCCCTCGTGTGCAGCTCAGATCCCCGACTGGCTCGGACACAGCAGCAGAGGGCAAGGGGGTGCCTGCTGCTGCTGCTGTCCAGAGCCTGTGTGCTGCAAGAAGAGCTGACTCCAGCTGGTCCCTGTGTCAGTAGTCCCTCTGGGAATTTCAGCAGGCACGTTACATTTGTTCACAGTCAGAATCACAACCTAGACTGTCCACAGGCCTTTCGCATGGAACAATAGTCCAATGGACACTGCCGAATTTTGTAATTGCCATGACAAAGGAAAGGAGTTTGAAAGTAAGCACAGCACGAAGGGTCTTGATTGGGTGACCATGCAGCTGGGAACATGTCTTCTGTAGGACCATATCCAAACAGTAAAACCAGGCAGACAGCATTAGACCAGACGTGCATCAGAAAAGCGTACCACAAAGAGATCTCAGTAGAGGGGAGGAAAAAATTTTTTTTTTTGTTTGTGTTTTTAAGAATACATAAATCCCAGAAAGAAAACCCGGAATGTTTAGCTATATTTCTCTCAGAACAAATGATAAATATAATTTGTATAATTCATGAATCCCTCCATGCTGCAATACATGGTTAAGAGATGCGATGGAATGTCAGCAGCAGATCAGCGCTTCTGGGCCAGTAACCGGACCGCAGCACACTCAGCCCTGCCAGGCTCCGGCCTGCTGGCACTCATGCTCTCAGCTCTGCCTCAGGGGGAACCAACACAGGGGCAGAACAGGTCAGAAGGGGAGCTGTTTCTCCTCGGGTACGCAGCATAACCACCACCCTGCAGCCAAGGATGCTGGATGGAGGAAAGAAGGAGCTTCCTGAGCTCAGCGATTCAACTTTGCAGTTCATGGAGCAGCTGCGGGAACTTCAAGCAAGTGAAGCCAAAAATCAAACAAACTGGTCAGTGCTTTTGTAAACCTTCAGTGTAAAAAGCGCCCCTGTATTGTACAGAATATTGTGAGCTGCAGTCTTACAACGTCTGTCTATCTGCAATATTATTCTACCCTGCAGTACATGTTGTGATCAAGTGCTGTTGTTTACATGTGTGTGCAAAGTTGCATGTATCATGATGCCTGGCTCTCCATGTTCTCCTACCTGTCTGAGACAATGCATGATGACTGGCAGGTTACAGTGCTGTAGACAGTGAGCACATTAACCAAGCTCATGGCAGTGTTGACCTCTGGTAAAGAGGTGCTTGTAAAAGTGTTTGAACTAAACAAATAAACCTGAGTGATTGCAGTGCATTGGAGCCACATTGTGGGGTATCTGACTAATCTGGCCCCCAGATCGGAGCAAGGGGGAGCACTTGCATCCTCAGTTCCAGCTGCATGAGCCAGTGGACGCAGACACAGAAAAGAGCACGATCCAGCCCAAAGAGGAGGGAGGTCATTCAGGATGGAAACTGGCTGCAAGGGAGTGCGATCATGGCTTCTAGGTTTTCACAGCACTCAGCCTTGCCACTGCAAAGTCACAAGAAAGTCTTTTTTCCCCAGAAAGGAGGCTATTTAATTCAAAATTCACATGTTGCTGCATGCAAGAAAAAAATGCTCACATTTCTAATGTAAGAGTCTGTTAATTAAGCAGGTGGTTAAGCTGAGTTACATGCCTATGATCTGTTTGGGTTTTTTTTGCCTCTTTGGAAATTTGGACCACAGAACTTTATCACATTCCAAAGAAGCTTACAAAACATTCCTAATTCCCGAAAAGTTTCCTCATGAGAGTTACTAATGGCTTTTTCTTTCTTCATGGCATCAGTTATTGAAATTTTTTTTTTTAAATAACTGTTTCAGAAAAACACATTAAAGGGATGAGCTGCACAGCCAGTGTTGCTATGTGTGAGAAGAGGATTTAGTACTCAGCGCATGTGGTGCTTCATTACACAAAGGGATGTGGGAGCCTGGAACTGCAACAGGCGACCCAATTAAAAATTGTGACCATCTCCTTTTATGTCGTGTTTTCCATCTGAGCTGAATAAAGCAAAGACAGATTTCCTCAGGCTTTCCCATCCGAGCAGAGAGGGCCTGCTCTGAGGGAGAGGTGACACTTCTGCTGGCTCAGAATGATGCAGGTTCCATTCCTCAGGCTCCTCAGGCAGTTAGATAACCTGACCCTTTCTCAGCCGCTGTGTGAACACATGTAGAGAATTACTGTTCACAATATTGCAGGGATCCTCCCTTATTTGCTCTTGGAGAGGGGAGCTGAACTGCTGGCTCAACCGGCTTTATTGTCCTTTAATGGTTAACAGGTGTGTGGTGTGCTGATCACAGACAGGGATACCCAAGTGACAAACTAATTCTTCATGTTACTTGGGTATGCTGGACGTGTAGTGCATAGCCTCCTGTTACTGCAACTCTCCAACAAGGGCTTGGAATCTCAAATAATTCCGCATTCACGCATTGCACAAAGGCACATCATGTTTCTTTCTGATGATGGAGGGGTATCACTATGTTCATTTCCTGTGGAGTGGAGCTGGTTTTGTGACAGTGAAGGGCCTACAAAAACAGATCCCCTCACTTCTGACACAGAAAGCAAAGATGAAATATCTCCCTCTGCTGAAACACAAGAGCTCTAGGTACACACGCAAAACTAGAAACCATTTTACAACACCTGCTGACTGGAATGGCTTCACAGCTGTGGGAATCCCAGAGCCACTGCGGTTGCAGGACGGCACCCACCCAGCATGACCGCTTCTGCTTGTAAATGCTGTTTTGTGCCCTTTCCATCTCCTTGCGTGTGCTTCTGCTGAGTGCTCTAGATCTGGGCCAAACAGCCATCACCATCAGAGGCTGGACAGATTTAGGACAAAAGATCTAAAAGAGAGCCCATTCTTAAAGTGGTCAACCAGATAGATCAAGACAAACTGATTAAAAATAAGCATGGAATCAAGTAGGTTCTGTCACCAATGACATGTGCAGTCCCCCTCCTTCTCTGACCTACAACAGTCAAGGGCCAGTGGGCGCTGTGGGCGAGTGCAGTGTTGCCGCATGTGGTCACATCAATCACATCTTTGACTCTCTAGATTAGTGTTCTGCTCTAGAGAGTTTCTTGAGAACAGAGCTGCTGAGAACGAACTGAGACTCTCACAGCCCACGCACTGACTCATGGGAAAGTACGCTGGGCCACGCCAGCGATAGAAGACACGCGCCTGCTGTTTACCTGGCTCTGCCGACACCACCCCTGGCCACTGCAGGTCTCAGAGAGAGGCTCGGGTGATCCTTTCCGTCCCCAGTCTCGCTGCAATAACCTTTCCCCACAACCCTGCCTTCGGATCTTACTCTACTTGTGCTTGAAATTCTATCAAAATGATATGGCAGGAGGAATGAGGCTAGAGCTGATCCTACAAAGGTTTCTGTAATCTTTTACTGCCCAACAGAACACACTATCCCAGGCTGCTGAGCGTTGATAAGAAAGATGGTCACACCTCTGCCAACAAATCTAGACTCTGTTTATTACCTGCTGTTAAACTGCCCTTCCTATTGGGTCTGTGTTGTGAGCCATTTCATTCATATTTCAGTGTGCTGGCTCTCAGCGTTTTAAAGGATTGCCTTTGCCAGAACGTATCCTGTCTGCCAGCATAAGTGAGATCTGTGTCGGGTTGACGCTGTTTTTCATTAAGATTTGCGAGAGAAAACAGAAAGGCACACCAGTGATTTAGTGATCTGTGTACTCCTGGGTGCCAGCAGTGCCCTTGTCCACAGGACACCTGTGTCCATTCATCCCATACCAGAACTGGAAGAAGCCCAGAAACACAGAGCCCATACCACAGCCACACCCTAGACATGATGCCAGTCTATCGCTGGGCACATACGCATCAACATGTCCAAGCATATTATATCACTGAGCATCTGTTTAGCCAGCAGCCATATCATCCTGCAACTCACAGCTGACCGCCCACTGAAGCTCAGCAGGTGTGAGCCTCGTCAGTACCTGGAAGGGAGACTCCTGGAAAAACTAAGGTTGCTGCTGGTAGAGGTATTAGTGGGGCCAGTAGGGGGTCCTCATCCTGCTGTCTGTGTGGGTCCTAATGCTTAATAGTAACAGAGACACTATACTGTAAAAAAAAGGTGCCGTCCTTCGGATGAGAAGTAAAACCAAGGTCCTGACTCTTTGTGGGCATTAAAAAATTCTGGGGTGTTTCTCAAGAAGAGTCCGGGTGTTTCCGATTGGCCCTTACCAGTCATGGCCTTCTAATAACCCCTATCTCTGAACTGGCTTCATCCCTCTGCTCTCCTCCCCACTGAGAGCTGCTGTGGGGCAGCGGACTGGTGCATCATCCAGGTGGGGCTGCACTGATTAAGTCTGTATGGGATTGAACTGCAAACCGTTTTCAATGGGATTGATATCTGGGGACTGTCCTGGCCAGAGACGTTCATGAATTGCTTGCAGCTTAGAGTGTCTGTTCACTTCCTTGCAAGTTTCCCAGTATTTTGGCCAGTGATGTGCACTTAGCTTGTGCTGTTAGATTGCTCCCAGGCTTCTTTCAATAAGGTTGTGCCAGTTCAGAGCCCATTAGATAAGATCACTTTATTGGCCATATACAATTTCTTGCATTAGGAATTTGTCTTTTCACATACCCCAGCTTGCTCTCCATGAGACACACAGACAGGGAGAGAAGCTTGGGGTCAGAGCGCAGGGTCAGCCAATGTACAGTGTTCCTGGAGCAGCTGGGGTTAAGGGCCTTGCTCAGGGGCCCAATGGAGTAGGATTCCTCTCCAGGATATGAACCAGCAACCTTCCAGCCACAGACGCAGATCCTGAGCCACAGAGCCACCGCTCTGGCATTGGGAAGAAAGCTAGTGCATTCTGTACATGTTCTTAAAGACATCTTGGCAGACCTTTTCTCAGTACATTTTACCTGCCAAAAACAAACAAAACAAGAAAAAAAAAGTGACAGCTAAAAAAAAGTCATCACAGCAAAAACTTATCTTAAGTCATGCTAGCTATCTGCTGATCCTGTAAGATAATGGCAGCTGGGAGTTGTGTTTTACAGTTTTTTAAAGCCAGCTCTGCCTTCTTATCAGCATCCTGTTTGTTCTCTTTCTCTGCAATGTATCATCTTTGACAAGGGAAGTCAGAGGAAAACCACACCACTCTGCCACAGTTAACTCATAGTAACAAAGGCTCTCCTGGCTGATACCCTGCATGGCACATCATGGCTGCCTCTGTGGACTCTAGCAGCAGTAAGATTTTCGTTGTTAAGTAGAATACGGCAGAGCTCTCCAGCCCTGGTCCAAGGGACACTGACTCTTACTGTTGTCATTTTGTCTGAGCTTTCATTCGCTGTCCTACACAGCTTCTTAGCTAAAGACAAAAAAGTCAAAGTCTTTACCCTCTGACTGAATAGACTTGTTAGACCTTTTCTGCAATGAAGACCTCTGCTTCACAATATTTATATAGGTACACTTCTTTTGAAAAAGTAACTTTTCTGAACAATTTTAGAAAACTGATGTTTGTTTTTGGTCACACTCAATCCTTACTGGCCTCCTCTCTAGCTGTTATTATGCAGTGGCAGCTTTCCAGGTTTGCTTATTGGGGCTGACTTGAGCAAACACGACACCAAGGACGATCGCGTGCTGAATTAGGGGCGCTGGCAGCCATACAACTGACATCAAGGACAACACTGTTTGCCTTTGCTTATATTTTCTTATATGAAGTGTGAATGCAGAGCTCAGTGGTTTCCCACAAGCCCTCGGCTGAGTAAATTTGCATTCACACGTCCTCCTGTGTGAAACATAAACCCTTCAGAAACACTGGCAGGTGGCGGATTCGAGACAGGACCAGGCGCCTGGGAGGAACGAGACCTGTTCACGTCACGGCTCGGCTCGGCTCTTCTTTGACACACACTTAAAAGCACAGTGTTCTTCTAAAGAGTACAATCAGTTAAGAATTGCTCACGAAGGAGATCCGATGGGATGGAAGAGCAGTACACTTCTTACTTCCAGCCATCGGCCTTCTTGTTCACCTCCTATAACATTTCCAAGATTTTGTTTTTCTTGTTAACTTTGAGCAGATAACACAACTGAGTGAAACCCACATTGCATCACACTAAGAATTATGAACCCCAACCCCCCCCCCGCCCTCCACTTTCTCGGTGAGTTCAGACGCCGGTTGGAAGTCAGAAGAGAAATTCCGTGCAGCTCTGTGGTTTGGGAAGCACGCAGTGTAACGCCTCTAGTCTGTCACTGAGCCCAGGCAGCCAGCCGGAGGGAGAGGGTCAGACTGCGCTTCCCAGCTGCAGCCAGGAGACGCTCTCCCACTCCCCCAGCTCAGACGCAGCTAGAACAGGTATCACTGCTGTGACAGTAAGGCCCACCCCAGCACCACACTCTCAAACAATGCCTCTTTTCTTCTTTCAGCAGACTAGCAGGGATCTGACCACCCAGCTGCATGGAAATGAGAGATGGGGAGTATTGAAATACAGAGCATTCTGCACTATATGTGCATCTACATGTATATTCTAGGAGGCTTTGCATATTTCAAGAAAAGTTGTTATCACAAACCAAAACAGCCTGGAAGAGTATTCTCTCATAAAAATGTACTGTATGAAGGCGAGAAGTAATGTACAAAAACAACACAACTGAAGCACCAAGGAATGTGTACCAACAAACACACAGTATATACAGTACCAGTGTATAAGAGCACTGCAAGGCACTGTGGAACTATCCAGCATTGCCACACTTTGGTATCTGAATCAGCCTTAGACTCAAGCATCTGTGTCAGGCCCTGCACGACGCTGTGCTCTGTTGTGTTCCGCACAGCAATCTTCCTGCGTGTGCTGGTGGCTTTTTCCTTTGAGTGAGGCAACTAGGGAAACGTATCCGCCTCTCAGCACGAGCGAGACCCGCTGCCGCAGGAGCCTGCATTCCTCTGAGCAATCATCTCATCAGTCTGCAGTAACGGAGCAAATGGCCTACATGTGTGTGAGTGGTGGCC